TGTACTAAAATGTCATCAGTGCTGGATGCTTAGTACTATGCTAGATGCTATACTAGGACATTTAAAAAAGTATAGAACAGTTTTAGCACCCAGAATCTTATGACATGGTTGGGAAGACAAACCACAGTTGGAAACTAGATAAATAATAATCTTGGGAATCACATGATTAGATGTAAGCTAAGAGATGGATGCGAGTATGTGGGCGTTGTTATGCTTAGCGTTTTACTGTGTGTGTAGTTAGCTGGCTATAGTTCTGTAATGAGGCACTACAGTCAACTGCCTGGCCTGATGCTTTCGGGAATTCCGACTTGATAATTCCCACGTGCATAACCTGCAGAAGGTGGTTGTTTAACTCCCTTTGTTCTCCCGTTTGTTAAACTTTAAAATAGTGCATTCCCAGCACATTGAGGTGATTAGAATTTAGTAAAAGATACATTTTTAAGGCATAGTTCTTCATCTAAAAACTTTTTTTTTCAATATAATGCCAAGATGTTTTTTTTGTTGTTCTCATTACTGCTGTGTTCTGTGCACCTAGCACAGTGCCTGACAAATGGTAAGCACTCAGGAAATACAGTTGAGGGACAAATTTGAAATTACATTTAGTTGCCAACAATTTTTAAATCATTCAAAATTATCTTGTTATTAAAAGATACTCAGTTTGGAATACTGTTTTTTTGTTTTTACGTTTATTTGTGTTGAGGACGAAGCAGGGAGAGAGAGAGACAGAGAGAGAGACAGAGAGAGCAAGCATGGGGACAGAGAGAGAGAATCCCAAGCAGGCTCCACACTGTCAGCATGGAGCCCAATGTGGGGCTTGAACCCACAGAACCGTGAGATCATGACCTGAGTCCACGTCAAGAGCAGGTCACGCAACTGACTGGGCCACACAGGCACCCCTGGAATTTTGGGTTTTAAACCTCAGATCTAACTGTTAGGACAAGTTGCCATTATAAAAATAGAATTTTAATGAAGCCAGCAGCCTTTTAGTAGCTTTTTCATATTCCTAAAAGGAAATGATTTTCTAGATGAATGAACTTCTCCACTGTATTAGTTATCTGTTACTGACATCTGACTGCAACATCCTGCAGGACTCTATGCAACAGCTGCCTAGCCAGGCCATTCCTAAAACCTGACACAGAGAAACTGTGAGGGATAATAAATATTAGCAGTGTGAAGTTTTGTGATATCATAATATAAAGACTTTCATGTCTATTTTGCTTGAAGACTGTTCATCAGTAGATACCCTGCAGTTTTTCAAATATAAAAAGGATCTACTTTTTAAAATATTTATATAATTATAAAATAGTTCATGTTCATCACAAAAATCAAAATAATGCAGAAAGGTAATCAAAGTTGTAAAAATTACTCCAAATCCTGCCACATTTTGGTGTCTCTCCTGAAATCTGTTTCTATGTGTAGACATACATACACATAGGTCTGTCTTTTCCACAAGTGGAAGCATACTATTCATGTGTGTTTTTCCATCTTTTTAAACTCATGCCCTTGTTTGAGTAACAGAAAAGCTAATGCCCTCCTTGAATGCGATTTAGAAATTTCATAGTAAATTAAGTAACATGACCAAAACTGATTTTAGACAGAGGTAATTTAAGAAAGGGAAATATTTTTAGTTTAATCTTAAAAGAACTCTCAGGTAACATGACCTTGACTTGTTTTCCATAAAGCTGTTGATCCTAGGTAAGTTGGAAGATAGGGCACAGTAGATATTTTAAATAATTTGCTCAACATTTCATTGGAGAAACTGCGCACTGTCGAAGAGAGAGGCCTGCTAACGACAGCTTAGTCTTCCCCTGTTGCCTTGAATGGTTAAGTTCTTGGCCCACATTTGTATATTCCTCTTAGCAAAGCAGAAACCCTGCAGTTCACTGGAGATTAACCATTTTAACTTGGGAATGCTCTTTGGGGAGTGTGACCCCTGCCCTCGTCCCCACTCCAAGTAAGTGATTTTTCCGACAATATACAGCACTCTAAAATGAGTTTTGGCAAATTTTTCTTCTGTCTTTGCCGTGATGTTTCCATGGCCCTTATGGATTGGCTTGACCCCCCCCCCCCCCCCCCGTTACTCGGGCTGTTTCCGCATATGATTTGGCTGTTGTCTCACACTGTACACTCTCGATTCCCCTTCTTCCTAAACTTGCTCTCCTTCTAGTCGTCCCTAGTCAGTAAATCCATGCCTCCATTGACACCGTGGCTCCCCTAGTCCAAGTATCATCTTTCTTTCCTGAAGTGGACTCCTGTTGGTTTCTGTTTGACTTCTTTACAGTCTCTTTTTCCACACAGTAGACAGCATGATCTCTTAAAAAGCATAGAATCAGATAATATTACTCTTCTTAAAACCCTCCTTTGAGCTTGGAATAAAACCTGAATTAATTGCCACCACCTACAAGGCTCTGCGCGATCTGTCCCTTGCTTACCCCTGTCCTAATCTTTCTCTGTTCTCTCCCTCATTCACTCTGCTCTAGCTGCATCGCCCAGACATATCAAGATTTCTTCCCCCAGATATATGCAGCTCGTTCCTGCCTTCACGCCTTTGCACCAGCTGCTTCCCCTGCCTGGAGTGCTCTGCCCCAGAACTCGCCTGGGTAGGCCCTAAGCCCTTGGTGTCCTGCAGGTTTCGGATTTCACCTCCTCCGAGGTCTTCCCCAGTCTTCCAGTGTAATGTAGCCCCCGATTCGCTGCCACGCTACTTTATTTCCTTCATAACATGTAGCCGTTTCGAACCATCTTTATATCTTCCTCTCTTGTTTATCGCTTCTTTTTCTTTTGCCAGAATTTTAAGTTCCATGGGACTGTAGATCTTGTCTGCCTTGTCCACCCTGTATTCCTAACACATAGAACAATGCTCAGTAAATCTTACCTAAGTAAAAAACAAACAGACAAAGAAAAAAAAAACAAATGGGGAGGGAATCACTCAGATGGAGAAATGTGCTTTTTAACACCCTAGGGTGGCTGGAGCCAAGCTGTTCACGTAGGAAGGGAAGAAGGAGGGACAGAGCACAAAGCACTGTTTTAGCCCGAGTTAAAGCATAAAGTAAATAATACAAAATGTGGCCCAACAGTGAATGTAACAATTGAGAAACTAATTTCACGTTGAAGAAGGACTAGTTATTCAGACAATCTAGAATCCGATTAATCCTCAGGATTTCCTGTGCTGTTAATAACTTCAGTTGCTAGGCTATATAAGATAATATAATATATTTTGATCTAATATAAGATAATTTGATCTTCATGCCTCAAAGAGGCATTGATTGTGAATGTTTATTATATTTTGTTATTTATTAAAAAATAATTTTAAGGCATCGTTCATGGAATATGTGCAAGAGAAGAAATTATTAGTGTTGCTTGTAGGACCAATTCTGTCATTACACTATATTTTGTAATGCTTTAATTTATGTGTTTTCCATAAGTTTTCTTTTTTTTTTTTTTTTAATTTTTTTTTTTCAACGTTTAATTATTTTTGGGACAGAGAGAGACAGAGCATGAACGGGGGAGGGGCAGAGAGAGAGGGAGACACAGAATCGGAAACAGGCTCCAGGCTCCGAGCCATCAGCCCAGAGCCTGACGCGGGGCTCGAACTCATGGACTGCGAGATCGTGACCTGGCTGAAGTCAGACGCTCAACCGACTGCGCCACCCAGGCGCCCCTCCATAAGTTTTCAAATAACTGCTGTGCTATGGTCTAGAAAAGATTGTACTGTAAGGGAAATATTTTAGTACCTTTAATAAAATATACTCTGGAGATTTTTTTTTTTTTAATTGAACAGTAAAGGAAAATGTGTTCTTAAAACCTATAAGAAATTAAAATCGTTTTACTCTGCAATTACTAGTTTAGCTTTGTTGTTTAGTTTATAAACTGTTGTTTTTTGTTGTCCCCTAAAGATAAGAGGAGAAATCAACCTAGTGATTTATGATTAAATACATCTGAGTTAAGCTTTCTGTCTGGTTCTTTTCTCTGTTTACATTTTGGGAAAAAGTTATGGCAAATCTAATATGAGATCTGAGTTAGCTTTTTTAGAGTCCACTTTTCTCAAATTTATTTTCACATGACTGTTGCCTTCAAAGTGGCCATCCAGGGAAGTTGTACATTTATTCCAGCAATGCTTCCATTCCTTAAAATAACTCTTTTCAGAGATGCTTCATAGTCAGTTTTGGAATTATGAAAGAAACTTAGCATTTTTTTGCTTTTTTTATTATTGAAAAACCTCAACTTTTAAAACTAAATGAAGACATATAATTTCCTCAGTTGACTTTGTATTAATATTAATTAATGAAGCCAGTGCTGCTGTCATGCAGTTGAAGTTATGACCTGTGAGATCATGAACGATATCTTGTAAATTTGTTTAAAGAACGAAGAACATTGTTTAACTTTGTGAAGTAATAGATTGAAAAGAAACCAAACACCTGAGTGACCAGTTCACCTCCTTTTAAATTTACACTTTATCTGAAACTGAGGGCAGTGCCTTGTGCCCCTCTGTAGAGGGAAGACAAGGGGGTGCCAAATCTGAGAGGAAGCACCTCCCCTTTGGGGAGAAAGAGGAAATGACCTGGTGTCAGGAAAAAAGGCCAAAGTGGGCTCTTTTTAGTACTGAGTGAAAGCTAAGAGTCTATATTTAAAATCTGCCCCTAAAACTACTCTTCTTTTACAATTCTTGGCATCAAAGAGTACAGACCTGTTTTGGAAGATACACCTACTTTGAAAGCCCAGATACACGTATTTGAGAGGAGTAGCTGGAGCTTTGTTGGTGTTTGTTGTTAGAAGGCATTTAAGTTCTATTGTGAGATAAACGGATCATGTGTTTCAGGGCAGGTCTTAATGTCTTGACCTCTGTGACCATCAAGGGCTTTTATTTTGTTTTATAAGCCAGTGCTTTAATCTTTTATCTATAAAGATCACTTTTTTATTTACTTTATTAAATATCATAAATGTGTGGGTTTTTTATAAAAAAAAATCTTTTCTTATCTTTCTTTTTTTTTTTTCTAAAGCTGCACATCATTGACTCCTGGACCTAACTGTGACCGATTTAAACTGCACATACCATATGCTGGAGAGACATTAAAATGTAAGTAAATGATGACTATTTTATTGAAAATGTACATTACAGTGCTAGTTATCAGACTTTGTGCTTCAGTTTTTATTTCTGGCTATTAGGTATTATCACTAGGATTTACCACTTAAAAAATAATTTTTTTTAATGTTTATTATTTATTTTTGAGAGACGGAGAGACAGTGTGAGCAGGGGAGGGGCAGAGAGAGAGGGAGACACAATCCAAAGCAGGCTCCAGGCTCTGAGCTGGCAGCACAGAGCCCGACACAGGGCTTGAACTCACGAGCTGTTGAGATCACGACCTGAGCTGAAGTCGGATGCTTAACTGACTGAGCCACCCAGGCACTCCTAGGATTTACCACTTTTAAAAAATTTGTCTTTTAATTTGAGTTCTATTCAAAGTAAGGCAGTTGGCAGGGAATAAGCGGTGGTCAAATAGGCATACACTGAAATTCTTAGTTTTTAGGCCTATGCAGTAATTCTTGCATTTTTTTCCCTCTACTGACAGATCTTATGTAATTTGTCAATAAAGAGAGTCCATTGCTTTAAAATACCTGACTATTTAGAAACAGCTTTTAGGTAGGAATGGCTTCTAACTCCCTTCTGGAAGTATTGCTGCCAAGAACCAACTCCTGATTGCCACCTGAGCATAAGAGTCTTCCCTCAGAGACTCTTGGCATAGATTAGGATTGTCAACAGGTTACCTCTTTTATAGCAAGGGTTGGAAATGCAAATGGCTACCGTGGCCAGACTAGTCACAGAAATGAGGGGGACAGGCTAGGTGTGACAATTGGGCACACCTACCGTCTTGAGGGGACTGCCTCTGTTGAGAGGTGGAAATCTGAACTTTTGTATAAATTCTTTCATTTTAGGGTCCCAACTACTTTTTCAAAAATTAGAAACATAGTGTGGGCCAACATAAAGTGGGTCAGACCAAATGTGTGTGGGGCCTGGCTCGAGCTCTTCGACCGCTGATTTGTGATCTTGATGAAGAGCAGTCAAGACCTACTGTTGCGTTTAGTCCACCGTCTACAACATCTGCCTACATTGTATCAACCCTTCCCCGCTGTTATTACCAGTGCTGACGCCCTAGTGCAGCATGGAAATGATGGTGGCTTTGGTGGGTTAGTCCCAATCTCATCAGGAATTTTCTCTCTGGAGCCTATTCTTGTGGCAAAGAAGGTATTGAAGTCTCTCTGGTCTTGAACAGAGGAATAAGGAACATAAATGTTAAAGATGGGACAGATGAGTAAATAGTGCCTTTCAGGCTGTGGACTATTTATTTATTTATATGAAATTTATTGTCAGATTGGTTTCCATACAACACCCAGTGCTCATTCCAACAAGTGCCCTCCTCAATGCCCCTCACCCACCCTCCCCTCCCTCCCACCCCCCATCAACCCTCAGTTTGTTCTCAGTTTTTAAGAGTCTCTTATATTTTGGCTCCCTCCCTCTCTAACTTCTTTTTTTCCTTCCCCTCCCTCATGGTCTTCTGTTAAGTTTCCCAGGATTGTGGACTCTTTTTAAATTATAGGCCACCAGGGGCTACATCTTACTATTCTGTAGCATCACAAATGCAACATTAAGCAAAAAATATAGGACATGCTGACTTGTTAACCTGGCGTGTTACTATTAGATCATTCTCTGGAAACCATTAAAATACATAAGAATTTCACCTGCCTGAGGTAGTGGGACATTCTAGATTGTTTCTGAAAAAATTATTAACTAAATTTAGCAGAAATGATCAAACTAAATCATTCACGTGGCTAAAAATGTAAAAAAGTCCAGAAATTTTTTACACGTGAAAGCTGTAGTCCTCTGTTAGGTTTCTTCCCAAGCCCGGTCCTGTTTCCCGAGGGAGTCACTTACATTTTTTTTTTTTGTAAAACTGTTTCAGTATGTAGTTCTTCTGGGGCTGCTCTCCATATGTCTAAATAATGTTTATGCCTCTGTTTCTTGACATCAATTGTAGATATTATTATCTTTTGACTCTCTGCTCTGATACATAAAGCATTGGCCTGTCTTCATTGAACTCTGTGTCTTTCTTCTTTCTTCCTCTTCAGTGCAATTATATCGCCACGATTGGTTCCTGTGTTGGTTACTCTGTAGCTTGAACATTTTTCCTTTCTTTCTTAAGGACCACTGTCAGCATTGTATGGCACAGTTAAATGAACAGCTCCTAAAACATTCGTAGCACGTGCCTGGCACGCAGTTAGCATCTCTGCACACTCGTGACAGCTACTTGGTATACTTTTTTTTACTTTCCCCTTAACCATAGAGAGTGTCTTTTGGCTCCCCACTTTGTGAGATGAAGGTATTAGCTCCTGCCCTTCCCTCCATGCCTCTTCTTTCACCTCCCAAGTTTTGTATTCTTTTCCTTTTGCATCGTCAAAATTAATAACTTATCGTTTGTTCTAAACCTAGAGTTGTCTTTTGTGCTTCGTTTATAAATTGCTTGAATGCTCCTGTACAGTTATCTCTATGGGATTTGCCTGTAGCCTTCTCTTCCTTTTTCTGTAGTGTGTGTATTGAAAATTCTCTCTTTTGGTAGAATTAAAACATAAGTGCTGGAACACAGTAAAATACCTTGCTTAGATTCCACTTCTCTCTCTGCTCTCCTCCCTTTGCTGTAGCCCTTCCTGATCAGTTTTATTTACCATAGTCATAACTAGGTATCTTAATTTCGAAGAGCTCTCTCTTGCTTTTGCTTTCTGTTCCTCTTTCACAACACTTTGTTTTTATTTTATGAATATGGTATCTTGAAAGCTTTCAAAGAATGTGGATTTTTAAAAAAGCTTTCTTAATTATTTTAATTTTCCCCAGGGATTGTATTTTTGTTTGTTTATCATCTTTTCCCCTCTTTACTATTCTGGAGTCTTTCCTTAAATAACAGATGGGTTTCAGTTATCTATGTATGTTTATGACAGACAATAAAACATTGAATAGGACTTCTTTATGGGTAAACCGAGCTTACTGAGTGGTGGATTAATCATGGACGAGCTGTTAGTATGAGGAACTCCTATGTGTCATATTATGGAGTTCAGCTGTTCTGGCTATCCCCCAAATTGTCCTATTTTTTTTTTTTAGCAAATCCCCTATCTTTTTTCAAGGGGGCATACACATCTGGCCACCATACCAGTTTTGGGGGATGGGTATCATAGACTCTTCCTCATGGAGCTTGTAGTTAATTTCCCCATCCTTAGCCCCAGTTTTCATTTTTCCCTTTCCTCAAACTCACCCTGGATGACTACAAGTTTTTATGGGTCCACCAGGACAGAGGGCTTCCCTCTCAGCAGTAGCCTCTTCCTCACATTCCTGCAGCCAAAGCTTTCTCTGCCCTGTCTCATCAGTTTCTACTCTTCCATTTGCATTCTGCCTTCTAGGAATTTGCGGAAATTGCTCATCTACTGATTGCTATTCTCTTCCCTTCCTCTTCACTTAATGTTGTTTTGAATTCTTATTTTCTGTGTTTCATTATCGTTTAATGGAAGGGTGGGTCTTGGGAGGGAGAAGAAATAAATGTGCGTGGTTAGTCCACAGCCTTTTTGCCAAAAATGATGGAACCTCACAAAGATCTTACTAGCTGTATGAGTCTATGCTAGAAAGCATTTACTAATCTATACCCTTTCATTAGTATAAGATTTTCCCAGGGAATTTCTTATAATACTGATGATTAGGGTATTTGCCTGGAATACCCCATATAAGTTAATTATGTCCTCTTAAGCTGCTGCTTTATATAATTATTATATACCAGGGACTTAATTTAGGCTGTAGAATGCTCTATAATGAATAAAAAATGAACTTTGTGTATTGAGGTTCTTCCACGTTAAGGTGAGTCAAGGTTCTAGCCTGAAACAGCCCACAGCCAAATAAAAGGAAAAGACAATCGATAACGAACTACGTTTATAAAAGTTCATTGAATTTGAAGAATGAGCTTTTTTTTTTTTTCTTCTGAAATTCTTGACATTATTTAGGAAGGCTTTCTGAAGGATGTTGGTCTTATGATCAAGCTAATGTTAGAATCCCTTGCTTTAAAAAAATTATCTGTTAAACTTGAAAAGTGGCATACACTTTGAGGTACCGCAGTGTTTCTGCATGGAAGCCAAACTACAAACCTTTTAAAACTTCCAGATGGAAATTGTTTTTTGATAGCTGTTGAAAATGTGATAGAATTGTCAAAAATAAATCAACTACATAAATTATGAAACATAAGTCACTGTTCTCCTGACAGTACAAAAATGGAAAAATTTACACGAAGAAAATCAAAACAAACCTTTTGAGATAGTTAAAACTTAAGTGATGATCAGCAGAACCATCTTTACTGGACTGGTGTTTTGTAAATCTCCCCACATAAATTTGTTCATGTCAGTGATTGCATAGCAAGGTTATTTTACTTTCCTTAGTTTGTATAATATTTAGGTTATAGTTAAAGTGTCTTTCTACAAAACAGATGAACATAGGGGAAGTGAAGGAAAAATAAGATAAAAACAGGGAGGGAGGCAAACCATAAGGGACTTTTAAATACAGGGAACAAACTGAGGGTTGCTGGAGGGGATGTGGGTGGGACGATGGGCTAGATGGGTGATGGGCATTAAGGAGGGCACTTGTTGGGATGAGCACTGGGTGTTGTTGTATGTAAGTGATGAATCATTGGGTTCTACTCCTGAAATTAATACTATGCTGTATGTTAACTAACTTGAATTTAAATAAATAAATTTTAAAAAATGAAAAAAGTATCTTTCTTTGTGACTATACTTACTTTAAAATTACAGTATTCCAAAATTAATTGTTTCTAGCTTTTTTTTTATATATATAAATGTTTCTGAGAGGAGTTTGTTGAGACATGATGTGTTGGTAGAAGTAGTAATGTAGAACACTTAGATATTTTATTAACCTTGATAATTAGTATAGGTTTATTCTGTGTGCTTTGAAGTTCATGGAAATAGATAATTTACTGTATCAACCAAATTTATTATAAAAGAATAAATCATTCAAAGCAAATCATGAATTTGCAA